TTTAGAATAATGCTTCCAAGGTTCCTTAGCACCTATGAAATCAGCATTTCGTTCTTTTTCATGGCTGAATACTATTCCAACATTTGTCTATACCGTATTTTTATTTTGTCCATTTATCCCTTGATGGACATTCGGGTTATTCCCACTTTGGGGCTGTTACGAATAACAAACATTCGAATACAAGTGTTGGTGTGGACAGATCTTTTTATGTCTAGGAGTGGAATTGCTGAGTTACTCGGTAACTCTTTATTTTACTTTTTGAGGAACGGCCAGCCTGTATTTCAAAGCTGCTGCACTATTTCAGTCTTTTGGGGGAGTTTATGAGGAAGCACTCCTGGGTTTTACAAATAAGTGGTAATATACGTACAAAACGGTAATACATGTTTAGCACCCATGTTACAGCCTAACTTCCGTTCTCTCCTCCCTGCAGTTTTCAGGTGAGAACGCTGACCGCTTAAAGAAGACATATGGCAAGTTTTGTGGGCACCACAACCAGTCCGTGAACTACTTCAAAGACCTTTATGCCAAGGATAAGCGTTTCCAGGCCTTTGTGAAGGTATCACTGTAACATGTGACCGCCCCGCCCCCACCGCTGTCCGGAGCGCATGTCCCTGCCAGTCGTAGCTAGTCTTTCCTCAGGTAGTTGGGCAGCTGCTGACGTTCCTGTGTTTCTTGCAGAAGAAGATGAGCAGCTCAGTGGTGAGGAGGCTCGGCGTCTCGGAGTGCATCTTGCTGGTAACCCAGCGGATCACCAAATATCCCGTTTTGTTCCAGAGGATACTGCAGTATACCAAAGGTGAGTCTCCTGGTTTTCCTCGGCCTTGTGTGCCCGTGGGCTGTTTCCTGAGTGCCCCGCTATACTAGAGACCATAGCAGATTATTTCCTGCTCTTCGGGTCTAAGAGGCCCTGGGTTTTATCCTCAAGGCGTTTCTTGAGTGAAAACTTGAAATGTTACGTCACCAGACTTAGGGCAGATGATAGCAAGAAGGGAAGGAACCACTTACTGGTCCCATCAGGAGGCTCCCGTGTCACGAGCTTGGGAGATAATTGCCACCAGTTCTTCCCGTAAGTGCTAGAATTGCTGCTGTTTCTCATTTAATCAGTACTTGTAGTTTCTTTCCTGGCTACCCTGCTCCTAAGGCAGTTTACACCAAAGATCAGGTAAAACAAAGACGTAAAGAAAGAACTCGGTGCTCCTCTCCCTCCCGCCCTAAAAATGTTTAGTTCCTTCTCCTTGAGAACGTAGCATGTAACCGCATGTTCTCTGTGTCACTGGAAACGTTTAACTTGATTTAGAAGTAAACTTACGGCCTCTGACGTGTTGGCTTTGGCCTGAGAGCGAGCCCTCAGAGGGACAGTGAGGCCCCTTCCCTTGTCTGAGAGGACCCACTAAACAACAACCCCTCGTTTCCTCCTAAGACAATGGCGTGGAGCAGGACGACCTGGCCCAGTCCCTGAGCCTGGTGAAGGACGTGATCAGGGCTGTGGACAGCGAAGTGGCGAGCTACGAAAAGAAAGTGCGTCTCAATGAGATTTACACCAAGACAGACAGCAAGTCGATCATGCGGATGAAGAGCGGTCAGATGTTCGCCAAGGAGGACCTGAAGCGGAAGAAGCTGGTGCGGGATGGGAGTGTGTGTCTGAAGAACACGGCGGGCAGGTTGAAAGGTGAGGCTCCCGTTCTCCCCGCATCTGAGCAGGGCGAGAGGAGCGCGGGCGAGAATCCGACGATTTCTGTTAGAAGTTCCCCGCCAGGTTTCTCATAAGGCGCCCACCCGTGTCCACACACCCCACAGGAACAGCCATCATTGAATCGTTCTTAACCTTGTATCACCGTCTTCTTTGAGATAGTTTATTAAAATCATAGAAAATACAGTAAGTTACCGAGGAAATGATGCAGTCAGGGAAAATGGAAAAAAAAGATTTTAAAAAAACAAAGCAAAGAGTAAGATTACTACAAAAACACAGCTGTTACGCACGGCGTATTTGTCTACCAGAGATGGGTAACGAGTTTAGGATTGGGGTCTCCGGGGAAACAGTTCCACGGAGAGAAACACCATCAGTTAGTTCACAGTCTGTGAGATTAAAAATACGTACATCACTTGTTCTGAAGAGATGTTAGAGGAATGTTCAGTGCCTGAGGCCTTAGAGCAGCGGTTCTCAACCTGTGGGTCAAGACCCCTTTGGGGATCGAACGACCCTTTCACAGGGGTCGCCAGGTATTCGTATGTGGGTGTATCGTCATGTGGGCCTGGAGACGGATAGAGGAGCGGTGTCTCGGTTCCTAAGACCATCGAAAATATGTGTTTTCCGATGGTCTTAGGCGACCCCTGTGAAAGGTTGAGAACCGCTGCCTTAGAGAAATGTAAGGTTAACTCACATCCACCAGATTCGTTAATCTTTATAATACTCATATTCTTTATCCTTCTCTAAGCAAGAAAGATCATAAAAGATACTCATTTTCTATTTAGGTTTAGTTTTGACTTTTCATATGATCAGCTACATGAAGCCAACGAAGTGTTGAGGTTTGTTAATTCATCTGTACACTTGATGTTTGTTTTTTAAACACTTGTTTTCATCAAACCTGCACTCTGGGGGCCTACATGGCAGCTCTCACTTCACCGGTAGCTTTGCGTGGGCCCAGCCCTGCTCCCTGGCCTCTTGAGCTGAGTACACGAAGCCCAAGTGCTCACTGCTTTCAGCCCCACTGACATTGCACTGGGGTGGATGAAATGTGTGCCTCTCTGCTCCCTGAGATGTAGGGGGTGCTGTAGGTAACTGCTATCGGAGAGTAAGCTTAGCCCAAACACTGAAGACGTCCCAGGCAGTCAGCTGGCTTTGAAGGCGAAGTAAGCAGCGCCGCCCGCGTGGAAGCTGGCGTCAGGCTGAGACGCTTGTACCGGGGTTCACGGCCCAGAGTAAGGGCAGGGGCCAGAATGGAGACCCACGCCAAGGGTTGGGGAAGGGGAGACGGGTGGCATTTGAGTTAAGTCTTGAAAGATGAGGACGAGAGTGTGTGGAAGCATGGAGTCGAAAGGCCCTGGCACATCCGGGAAGGGGAGACAGTTGGGGCGCTCAGACAGGCAGCCGGGTATGGGGCAGGGATAGATGGCCCCGTGGGCCAGGGTGTAAAGGGTGCACACTCCAGACTAAGAAGCTGACAGTTGTTACTATGGGTGAGGCGAGGAGGTGAGAATAGGTTCAGTTTGGAGAGTTTCAAGCAGGAAAGGGATACATTGGCTTGTTTTTAGTACATTGCATGTACTAAAAACATTGGGAGCGGTTTAGGGTGCACCAGGAGTGAGGTGACAGAAACGCAGAGAACCCGTGTCACAGTGGTTCAGGGAAGAGCTGCTCTGGGCCTGAATTCTGCAGGCAGCATGAAAAGGAAGGACAGGATAACTCAGAGAAAAGGAACATCCCTTCCGGCCACCAAGCAGATGTGCGTCTCCCTGCTCCCTGGTGAACTTGAACCGAGTGATCCCTGCGGCCCTCCCAGCCCTGATGCTCTGGGAGGCTCTCAGACCCTGGGTGGGGGCCCTTTGCGCACTGCGCCTTGGCCACTGTTGGCTGGCAGTTCAGAAACACCTGCCCGCCCTGCTCAGGACCTGAACTTTCTAAAGCTGCCTCTTCCTGGAGCTAGCTCTTTCTTCTTTCCTTTATACTGCAGCTTATTTATTCATTCCCCAACTAAAGACGAATCGATTCCAGCTGTTGGAATAAAGATGTGGTCGTGCTGATGGTGGAACGATAGGGTCTGGCCTGAAATGCCGCCAGTGGAGATAGGAGTTGGTGTTGAATCATTCCTACCCCTCGGGAACTGGTGCCAGGAACACCCAGTACTGTGTGGGGTACCCTTTGCAGGGGATGGGGTTTTCTCTGATATGCTGACCCTGATCATAGAAACTTCAGGATCCAATGAAATTCAGACTTGTTTGTGTTTTAGAACTCTTTTTTTTTTTTTTTGGCAGCCACCTGAATTATTTGAAAGTAAGCTTAAAAAAAAAAAAGAAAACTAATGGTCCTGCATGGAAAATTACTGTGGTCTAGGCTGAAACACTCAACCTCCCTAGAAATCAGACATCCTTGCTTCTGTTTTCCTCATAGCTTTGCAGTGAGTTACGTGGAGAGAGGATTCTAGTTGTGGCAGAAGTGGTAAAAAGGCAGGGGGGCGGGCCTGACCACCTAGGAGGGGCTGCATAAGTCAGCTCCATTTGTTCCCCCAAGGAATTGTAGGTCCCCCTTTCCAGAGAGATGACACAGAGGGGCCAGTTAGATCTCAGTAGATGGCTCACCTCCAGAGAGTCAGACTTGGTGCTTAAGAGAATAATGGCAAATGTCATTGTACTCCTAGAGCAGTTAGAGTGAGAGTTTGTGACATTCTTTTGTCCTAGACCCAACAACTAGAGATGTTCATTTGGGTTTGGCCTGGTTTTACTTGAGAAGCAGAGAAGGCTGTTTCCACGGCACAGAGACGCCGAGGTTGACTTGGATATAAAGCCACTGTGTTCAGACGTACCTGTGAAAGCAGAGGGCGGTGTGTGGCCTTTCTTCTTCTCTTGGGGGTGTGAAGATGTCTGCGTCTCATTAGACTCAGATGTTTTGGCAGCTTTCCTGTCTGCTATCCCACGCCTTTCCCATTACTAGAGTCAGAAATTGGGAAATACTGTATCCTGAGTGTTTTGTGGATTGTGTGTTCATTTCACATCTGTTAAAGTGCTGCTTTCTAACTTGACTGTTACAGTATTTTATTCTTAATATCTTGCCCAATGGGATTTATCTTTCTAGACTGGAGTACTTAAACTTTTGCAAGACAAGGCTTTGGTGACAGATTCCATTTTTAAATGTCTAATGACCAGGTCTGCGTCCCGCAGAAATGTGCGACAATTGCCTTAGAGCAGCGATTCTCAACCTGTGGGTCACAGTGCCTTTGGGGGTCGATGACCCTTTCACAGGGGTCGCCTAAGACCATCGGAAAACAAAAAGATATTTACATTACAATTCATAACACGGGTCGCCTAAGACCATCGGAAAACAAAAAGATATTTACATTACGATTCATAACAGTAGCAAAATTACAGTTATAGAGTAAAACGAAAATAATTTTATGGTTGGGGGTCACCACAACGTGAGGAACTGTATTAAGGGGTCGCAGCATTAGGAAGGTTGAGAACCGCAGCCTTAGAGGAAGACATCTGATCCTGATGTGCTCTTTGGGGTCGTATTGCTGAATTACTAATAAAAGTGTTCTGATCATACTTAACTGTTCCCTTCTCTCTTCCCTTCTCCCACTTTACAGAGGTTCAAGCAGTTCTGCTTACTGACATTTTAGTTTTCCTTCAAGAAAAAGACCAGAAGTACGTCTTCGCGTCATTGGTAAGCTGACTTGTTATTCTCTTCTGTTTGTAATTAATAGTGTTCAAAACAGCCAGGGGTGAGCGCTGAGTGTCAGTTAAACCCTGTACTGTCCCTCTCCCACGCTCTCAAAATTAATTGGCTCAGGAAAAATTCCTCTGCGTAATTTACTACACACCCTTGCAATTTTCTGTCCCACCCCCCTTACCCCCAAAATTATTTTTCTGCTTCGTTACAGTCCTTTTGAGAGGCTTGGACATTTGATCACCAGAGTGTTTCTCACACGTTATGCCCCGTAAATGATGCTAGTTTATAATATTGTCATCCAGATTCTGTGAAGAATGTGGAAGGATTCATCATGTAGAAAACATCACTAGAACCTTGATAGCCAGAAATTGCCATTTCCTTTCTGTAACTCTTTCTGTTTGAGAAAATAGAACTGAAATAATGAGATATTTCCCTTTATCCCACCTCTGCCATAGTTGGTTGAACCATATGCTCTTAAAAGGCCTCTGGTCCTCCCTTAGGTTAAAGTTGTCCCTAAGAGTTAGAATATCGTGTGCATTGCTCTCATTGGGTCTCGCCTCCTCCAGGACCAGAAGTCAACAGTGATCTCTTTAAAGAAGCTGATTGTCAGGGAGGTGGCGCATGAGGAGAAGGGCTTGTTTCTGATCAGCATGGGGGTGAAGGACCCGGAGATGGTGGAAGTCCATGCTGGCTCCAGGGAGGAGCGCGACAGCTGGATACATGTCATCCAGGACACAATCAACACACTGTAAGCTCGGCCCTGCCCCAGGCCCCGCCCCCCGAGTCCCCAGGCCCCGCCCCCTGAGTCCCCCAGGCCCCGCCCCTGGGCCTCCTTGTGCCTCTACGTCCATAAGGCCCTCGGCAGTCCCCAGGGAAACCAACATCTGAGGAATCTTGTTTTGTGTGTATTAGGAACAGAGATGAAGATGAAGGAATCCCTAGTGAGAATGAGGAAGAAAAGAAAATGCTGGACAGCAAAGCCCGGGAATTAAAAGGTAAAGCCGTTGGAAGTGACTTGAGGCCCTTGTCTGCTGAGAATGGTGGTTCCTCCCAGCGTCACTGCTTGTCCCCAGTTGGAAACGGGGACATGGCGTAGCTTTTCACAAATGAGAAACCAAATCGGAGCTGGCACAGGTCCTGGCACAAAACAGCAGGGGAGCGTGTCCGACCCAAGACCAAAGGAATGGTGATTCGCCTCTCAGTATCAGAGTTCTTGGACCCTGGTGACGTCCTTTTTACTTTGTCACAGAGGCATTTGCAAAAACCCATAGCCGCATCTAAGATGAAAACAAGAAGAGGGGAAGGGAACTTGAAAAGAATTTTCCAGTTAATCTGTTTTTATCAGTTTCTCCGGCCACTGTGCCTCCCACCCGGTCACAAATGAGTTGGGAGGTGGTTTGGGGAGAAGCGTGCTTATTGATTATGCTTGAGCACTACTTACTGAATGCCTGCTGTTTCGGGTCGTCTTGTCAACATCCCTGAAAGACGTGGATCCTTATCCCCATTGTGCAGATGAGAAAACTGAGGCCCAGCAAGGCCGAGCAGCCCAGGGTCCTATCCAGAGTTCAGGGCAGGGCCAGGCTTCTGCCCCCTGCCTCCTACACAGCGAGGGGCCTGCTCCTGTCTCTCTCTGCCGGTGCTTCGTTAAGGTTCTGAAGTAAAGACCGTGCTTTGGGTAGGAATGGGGCCCAGAGTAAAAAAATGTAAGCACCCACGGAGTTTAGTGAGTCCCTTAATTGGACTAAGTGATAACATTCTGTTTAGTGAGGGGGAAAAAAAAAATGGACAGATTTAGGCTGGAGCCAAATTTATTGGCCTGTGATTAGGATGGCAGGAATGAAACATCCCTCTTTTAACACGTGTGAAGCACCTGGCCAGGCATCCTGCGAGCTGCTGGGCATGCAGAGCCCCTGCCGTTGGGAAGCTTACACGCTAGCAAGGGAGACATGCAGTGACAGGCCACCAAGTGGTTTACTAGGCCAGAGGCCTGTGACGTCCGTGAGATGTACAAATCCGGCCTGTGGTACGTCACACACACAAGCCAGCACGTGAGCCACAGCTGAAAAAAGTTACTTCACCAGATGAGAATAGTTAGATGAAAAGGGGAAAAGGCCTTGACGTGTCTGCAAGGAACGACAGGTTTTGGTCTGTCTGTCTGGTCAAGGTGAAGTGATGGGAGATGAAGCTGGGAGGCCATCAGGTCTTGAAAGACAAGGAAATCATGTAATGTTTTTAGCAAAATTTAAACCTAAATTTTAAAAGTTGGGATTGAAGCCAACTGGGAGTATTGCTTGAGGGCGTGGAGGAGCCACTGGGAGTGGAAAGCCCAGTTAGGAGAGTGGGGATAGTGTCCGTGAGAAACGGGCTGGAGAGGGGATGGACGTGAGGAAGAAACAAGGAACCCATGTGGATGGTGGGCAGTGAGGAGGGATTTGACCCTGGAGTCCAGCGTGGGTGAGCTGGGGACAAGGTTGCTATTGACTGAGGACGAGGTCACGGGCTAAAGGGAGGAGGGGGCATGGGTGGTGAGGTGCGGTTTCTGACATGCCGAGAACCAGGCATTGAACTGCAGAGCGCGACTTGACAGTGGGGCTGGTGTTCAAAAAACTGGGTGGGGTTTGGGATGCTTTTTGTGGGTTGTCAGCACAGAGGAGGCAGTTGAAGCCACAGCAGCGAATAAGGTCCCCAAGAGGAGAGTGTGTAAGGGACAGACTGCAGCCCAGGATAGAGCCAAGGGGACCCCAAATACCTCACTGCAGATGGCAGGTGTATAAAATGCCCTGAGAGGGGGTGGTAAGAAGAGAACCAACGGTATCCTCAAAGGAGGGAGGGAAGCAGTTTAAAGAACCATCCGTGCTGGAAAGGATGACATAAAAGACCCCACCGGATTTAGGGATAACAGGCGACCTTGGAAAAAGGAGACGCAGAGTGATGGGCAAAAGCCAGAGAAAAGGGGGATTGAGAACCAAGCAGGAGAGAGGGGAGCGGAAACACAGTGTCGGCTTGTTATGTCAGAAGTTCCGGTGTTTGCCTAGAAAGACCCAGGATAGTTTGGCAGCTAGAAATGATGACAAGAAAAACTTGACACTGCCTTCACGACGGAAGAAAGGGGGGAAAAGGTTATGTTCTGTGTTGTCCCCGAAGTTACCACGAGGTGGCGGTCGTGTCTCAGTCATCGCTTCATACTAATCACCAGACCTGTCTCCGTCCACCCTGCAGAACAACTGCAACAAAAGGACCTGCAGATCCTCCTCCTGCTGGAAGAGAAGGAGATGATTTTCCGGGACATGACTGAGTGCAGCACCCCCTTGTCTGAGGAGTGCTCCCCAACGCAGAGCTCTAGAATCCTCTTCCGCTCCAACACAGAGGAGGCTCTCAAAGGAGGACCTTTAATGAGAAGTGCAATAAATGAGGGTAATTTACATTCAGCATTGCCCTCTCTTTATCTCTTCCTGGTCTGGTTTACACACTATATCAAAACCTACCAGTTTTAATTTTTTGTAATCGAAAGCACAAACCCAGAAAACAACCCGAAACAATTATTTGGCTTTCGGAAGTGATAATCAGGTGATCGTCTTGTAGCCATTGCCCAGGTCAAGGAATAAATGTGGCCAGACACCCGAAGCCGTTCCACGTGTCCTGGGCCCATCAGGGCTCCCCCTCCCTAACCCCCGGAAAGGACCAAATACCGTGACTTTTATCGTAGCCACTTACGTGTCTGTGTGGTTTTATGACCATGTGCCTATTCACAGACAGTGTGGCTCACTCCTGCCTGTGGATTTTCATGCGCCTTGTAAGATTTAACTCATAGGACACCCCCCCACACACACCCCACCACCACCCTCTCTTTTCCACACAGTTAATCTTTGAAAACCTAATGTTTTTAACCTGCTGAGTTTGCGTGTGTTCTTTCCTCCAGTGGAGATCCTTCAGAGCTTGGTGAGTGGGAACCTGGGAGGCGCCCTCGGGCCGGCCGTCAGCAGCCCTGGGGAGCAAGAAGGCGCCGTGGGTCCCGTGTCCCTGCCACGGAGGGCAGAGACCTTTGGAGGGTTCGACAGCCACCAGATGAGCGCATCCAAAGGTCAGTGGCTCTGAACTTGTACATGGACTGTTGACAAGCAGCCCTTGGCTGTCACACGCTCCTCAACGTGACCTGTACTCATAGCTCCTTGTCCTCTGTGTCATTCAGTCAGGGATTTAGTCAGGTCCTCACAAGTGTGTGGTCTGCTCACGTGCTCAAGAGCCGCTCTCAGTGACATGTTCATGTTGAATAATGAAGATTTTCCTGGGATCGCAGCTAAGCTAACGCCCAAGTAAAAATAATACTGGCTTTCCCTCCCCTCTTCTAGTTCTTCTGCATCAGCGAGGTTATTAATGGTCACTTAGCTGCCACCAAGTGGCTTCTCATTCTTTGGCTTTGGAAGGATTCAGAAACATCATATCCTAGGCAGTGTACACTGGGTTCTTCTCCAGGCTAAGCTGTTCCACAACTTTCAAAATACGGTGTGTGCGTGTTTGCTCTTTAGGAGGCGATAAGGAAGAGGGAGACGATGGTCAGGATCTTAGGAGAACGGAGTCAGACAGCGGCCTGAAGAAGGTATTTCTTTCTAGAATACACTATTTAAGACCCTAGCACTTGCCTCTGAGTTCATAATCTCCGAACTTTGTCCACTTTGGACCTGTTTTGGATGCCTGACTTGCTGTGTTTATTTCTGACTTTGTTTTCAGAAGAAAGCACATTAAACCCAGTACACTTAGGCATCCCCACGTTACGACTCTCTGGCCTGTCGCCCCAGAGTCCCGTGTTTACGTTCGTAGCTCAGCCCCAGCCCTGGCAGGAGAAGCTTCCTCCAAAGTTTTGTTTAAAGGCCCCAAACCAGCCTGAACTCTGTAGGAGGCTTGAGTGACAGGTCAACCTCGCTTCTCATTCGCCTGCAGTGAGAGGTTGTGGGGACTCGGACCTGAGCGGGCGCCACAGCATGACCCACCCACACTGAGTATAATTTGTGTCTCGGGACCTTCATTTTTTTGAAATGCATGTTTTTTTGTTTCGTAGGGTGGGAATGCCAACCTGGCCTTCATACTTAAAAAAAACAATGAGGTAAGGACGCCGTGAGCTGTTCATGAGTATGGTTTTCTTGTAACTGCTAGGTTACGGATACCCGTTTTTGTTTTGCTGGAATAAGCGGGCTGGCCCCCGGCTGCGATCCGCACAGCTCAGCGTTGTGGGTGTCCCTCACCCTGCCTGGCCCTGGCCCCAGGGTGTCGTCATCTTGGCATCGTGGCGGAAGGTGGCCTCCTGAAGTGGCCTCAGCGTCTCTCCAGCAGCGTCTTGCTGCCTCTGAACACGGGCTGTGACGCCTCCTTGGTGGCGTCTCCCGTCCAGGCGCGCTGAGTAGCATTTGTAGCCTCCTTTGCTGTAACAGGAGCCTGGGCCAGAAGCCACAAGGCTGGGACGTGGCACATTAACTCGTGGGTAACCCTGCACGGTCCTTTCTTACCCTACAAGGACGCGAGTAGAGTGTTGTTCCCTGAGCGCTGCTTCGCACCCGACACGTGTGTCACCCTGAAGGTGGCCTAGGTGTCCTGCTCAGGGGCAGTCAGGCTCCGATGCACACCGTTTCCATCTCCCTTGCGCCGAGTCCCGCTGACCCTGCAGGTTAAGTGCCCTTCTCTCTGGCTCCCCCTCTCCTGGGTCCCCCCTTAGGAAGTCCTCTTCGAGGCCGCACCCTCTCCACATGTATTTGACTCTGAGCCTGTGATTCTCTGCGTGGCCGACTGGAATTCCATACACGATAGCCGCTCTTTAGGGCACACCTCTCAGGATCTTTGTGTTTCTTCTTGCTTTTAACCTAATATTGTAAATCCCTGATGAGCTCTGGCTTGAAATTTTAAAATAATGGATTTCCCCTAAAAGCACAGAAGGATATTGTTTTCTTTCATTTATTGGAATGGACATCCAAATACTGTGGAAGCCCCGTCAGTGTTTATCCTGAAATGAAATAGACCTGCTCTCACACGGGCTGTTACTCTCTGCATCTGCTGCTTGAAAGTGAGCTCTGATTTGATTTTTCCACTTGGCAACTTGTTCCCTTATATTCAATGAGAAGAGTCAGGTAGTAAATACTACTCATTTCAGCCTGGATTACACATTATAGATGTTCAGCCAGTCAGCTGCTCTTCTGTGATATCTCTCCCTTCCTTTCTCCCCACTCCCTCTCTCCCTTAAGAACAAGCTTGCATGAGGGGTAAAAAGTATTCTCAGAAGCACTAAGCCTGATGAGTTTTTTTGTGCTTTGTTTTAAGTATTATAAAAAGAATACATTTGAGGGCCAGCCGAGTGGCTCAGTTGGTTAAGAGCTCACTTAAAAGTACAAACTCTGAGCAACAGCGGTTTGAGTCCGGCCTGAGCTGAGCAGCCGCTGAGCTGCCAACAGGTGGCAGGATGACTCAGCTTAAAAAAAAAAAAAAAAGGAATACATTTGCATGGAAGAAAATTTGAAAAATGTGCAATAATGTAAAAAATGAAAAAAAATAAGTAAACATAACCCCACCACTGAGAAGTAACTCCAGTAAAGTATTCAGGGTTTCTGTTCCCAGCCTTTCCTTCTACATAGCACATACTCATATGTCTACACGCTTGTGTGAGTGTGAGCCGTATAAATATAGCCTTACACAGTTGGTGTGCATTCTCCCTGGAGTGTCACGCCCTGAAGTGTTTTTCTCTGAACACACCTTAGAAGCGTTTCCCCAGAGCATATTCGCACAGACATGCTCTAATAGCTGCATGTTGTGATATCTTGTACCATCATTTCCTTAATCTCTCCATGGTAATTCTTTCTCTGCTCTTTTGCTTCTCAAATGATGCCGCCAAGAACAAACACCCTTGTCCGTGCACTCATTGCATCCTCAGCTGCAGATGGCTCTCTAGAGAGAAGTTAGGCAGTGTGTTCCCTGCCCATCAGCACACTATTCGTTTCCAACTTTCTTTCACCAACATCGGGAATTTTCATTTTTTTTTTTTAACTGACATTTTGTTGGTTTGATGAGTTCAAGTGGTATTTCTTTATTTTGCGTTTAGCTGATTTCAAATAAGGTTGAATTGTTTTTAATATGTCATGGAATTGGCCATTGTATTTCCTCTTTTGTAAATCGCTGGGTTTAGTTCCTTGCTGTTTCTCCACAAGGGTTTTTATTTCTTACAGATATGTGAGAGCCTTTTTTTAAATTAAAGATGTTTTCGTTTGACTTTCTGTTCACTTTGTCCTTTTTGCCTTTTAATTTTACATTTCACATAATGACAGTTGAAGATTTGTGTATGTGTGGTTTCTTCCGCTGCTTCTGTCTTCATAAAAGCCTTCCCTGTTTCAAGATCAGAAAAACGTTCTCCTATTTTCTTATAGCTCCTTTATGGCTCTTTTTTTACACTTAAATTTAAATCGATTTCAATATTTTTTGTGTGAGCCAGGCTCTTAACTTAATGTTTTCCAAAGATTTAGCCAGTTTCCTGAGTACAATTCACTGCATATTCTTTCCTTTTCCATTGATTTAGAAATGCTCCTTATATACTAAATCCTTACAATTTGCTTCTGGGCTTTCTGTTCATTGGTGTGTGTGTCATTTTTGTGCCAGTCATTTTAAATAGCTGGAGGCTTAGAATACATTTTCCTGTGTGCCGATGTCCCTCTGCACACACGGTTATTTTGTTCGTTTACTCCTGTTTTATTTTTCTTGGCTACTTGGACCTGCTTATTCTCCTTGGTTCTTTCAGCTTGAAAACATTTGCTTTAAACGCAAGCACCATCTGTGTGTTAGGAGGTTATCTGCTCAGACGACAGGCAGTGTGGGGTCTGGGCTCTGTCCTGACGTGCTGTCTCCATTGTGTCCCGAGCAGGTCGTCCAGAGCATCGTCCATCTCCACGAGCTCCTTAGCACGTTGCAGGTACGTGCCTTTCTCTTTTATCCCTTCGCTTACTTTTGAGAAAAACACTGAAGAACGTGTAGGTTGGCCTGGATCTTTGCGTTTATAGGTTGTTTAAGGGTAAGTGGGGCCCTCAGTCTAGAGGACACTGGCGCTTGTGATGTGAAAGGTCACAGAACGCAGCGGTTCGAGTGCCATCAACCTTCTAAGACAGCACCTGGCTAACAGATGGCGGGCTGTGGGTCCTGTTGGTGGCCGGGCCACAAGGCACGTGGGACGCCAACATGCACTGAAGCCATCATTTCAGTCTAGAAAGGCCTTCGTGTGATTAAAAGTCTCCACATTCCATGTCTCTGTGGTACTTGGATAGGGCAGCCCTCCCAAAACAGCTCCTATTCAGTACTTTCTAGAACATCCTCCAGTTCTGCTCACTTCCTTTCTTGAAGATTGAACTGGTGTCCTTCCTACCCACTTCCTGTCCAGCACACACACTGCCCACCCCAGGCAGCGGCAGTGGCTGCAGGCAGCACAGGACCGGGTTGGAGAAGACACC